TGGGTTTTGACTGAGTGTAAGTTTGGATACAAAGTTGTGAAAGGACGTGTAGCCAAATGCTTTGGTCACTTTTATCATTGGAAACGTTCTAATGAGAAATATTTTTGAAGAGAAAAAGATATGGCAAATGGTGCATTGCCTTTTGGGTCGAATGCTGTAAGGAAGTCTGGGTTTTTGTTTGGGTTAAGGGCACGGCTTTGCACCGAGACTTAGGTGTGAATCCCCGTTCCGCCACTTACTCGTTGTGGGGTTAAAGTTCCGCCGGCCTCCGTGTGTCCGTCCGTCCAGGGGCTCACAGCCCCGCCAGGCCACAGGAGTCAGCGGTGTGTGCCCCACACACAGCCTGGCACCAGCTGGCACCCCGTCGCGGGCTCCAGGGGGCACAGTGTTTGTTTTTGCAGAGCTAGATGGCCCGGGGCCAGGCCTTCAGTTTCTGTTACTCTGCGGGCACCTCCCAAAAAAGATGCAGTGAGGACGGACGGACGGACAGACGGAGCGGCGGGAGGGAGCGTGCAGGACGAGGAAGAGCCGCGCAGGCCTTCCACAGGGCGCCGCAGGCTGCCGGGCCGCTGGGGCCTGCACGGAGCTGGGCAGGGGACGGGCAGTGTCTGGGCGGGACGTGATCGGTCACCGGATGAGCGGCGAGGGGGCCGCGATGCCATCTCACGCCTCTTAGGAGAGAGCGCGTAAAAGGCGGTTATTTGGCTCGCGCCTGCGAATCCGTAAGCACATTGAGCGGCAGGTCTGTCTTACTTTAAGTGAGATGTTGTTTAATCGACTGCGCAGTTCGTTTGCTTTTCCTTGTCCACGTGGAATCAGGAGCACACTGTCTCCCAGCAACGCAGACGCCGGGCAGTCGTGGTCACTCCACTCGGCTCGCCTCTGCCAGCCTTTGGTTAAAGGGAGGGCTCCAACCAAAGATGGTGCAAATTCATTTTTTTTTGAAATTTTATTTTATTATGAATCAAACTTAAACAGAATTGAAATGATACCCCCATCTCCAGCCGGAGTTAAGAAGACGTCTGAGCTTCCAGGAACTGGGAGTACACAGCTGAGGGAGGGACTGTTCCGTCTCACCCCCTCCTGAGAGCCAATAACACAAGCCCAGAGTCCTGCTCCCTGGAGGTCATCTAAGGGACATCTTGGCCAGGTGGCCGAGGCCACGTGCACCTGGATGCTCCCTGCAGCACCAGCGGACCAGCCAGCGTGTCACGCTCATTCCCCGGGAGGGTCTAAGAAGCCATACGGAATCACGCTTGTTCACATCACAAAGAAGGTGTCCGTTTTGCTAACTAATCCAGCTGAGGGGTGGTCATGGCATGTCATTCATTCATTCGACTACACGCGTGTGGTCGGTCACTCACGCATGGTTTCAATGAACCCTGTGCTGGCCCAGCCAAAGTGCAAAGGAGATGCCGGCCGGGCCTCCTGGCTTTGAAATGGGGGGGGGGGGGGCTTTCGCCCCCAGGCCCCCCCCCCCCCTGCAACACACACACGCAACGCAGAGTCCTGGGTCAGAGACCAAAGGGTCGACCCCTCTGTGTCCCAGTAACTAAAGGAGGCCCGTGTTTGAGACCCACCTCTATGTCTAAGCACGAGGCCGGCAGGAGCACTCCTGGCCCCTGCCTCCTCACTGTGACGCGGGAAGTGCCTTTTCCCCATGCCTCATCGCGGCCATCCTCGACTTGGGAGCTCGCTCTGTTTGTTGGGCAACCTGGTGTGTCCTCAGTTCCCGAGTCGGGGATTGGCTGAAACTCCTCAGGGGCCTGTCCCACCTAAAGAATTCCCAGTGTGCCTTGTTCAGGTTCAGGATGTGCTGGGCAGGCCGGCATCAAGGGCATCTCCCCTTTGAGAGGAAGTTTTCCCAGCAGGAGGGAGACATCCCCCAGGTGTGGCCTTAGTCCCCCTTCTTGGGTTCTCTCTACCTGTCCACAGGTGAGCCACTCGGACTCCCCGATCTTTCCTTCCTTGTTTACAAAGCTGAATGGCACACAGTTCACGGCCCTGGCCTGTGGGGACCACACAGCTGTGCTAGCCTCTGTTGTCACCCTCAGCAGCAGCACCGAGGGAGGAGAAAGAGGAAGGGGAGCAGGAGGGGGGGAGGAGGAGGAGGAGAGGGTGGAGGAAGCGGAAGAGGGGAAAGTTCTATGGGACAATGGGACAAATTATTTAATTTCATTGAGTTTGTTCCCTCATTTGTAAAACAAATGTGCTGCTCAGATGAGCTTTGAAGGGAGGAGGAGGGGGAGGAGGGGGAGCAGGAAGGGGAGGAGGAGGAGGAGGAGAAAGGGGAGGCAGGCCAGGCTCGCAGGCCTCAGAGGCTGGGCAGGGAGTGCTTCCCGAGCAGGACCTCAGGCTGAGAAAAGACCTCAAAAGTGCTCCTGGTCCACATAGTCAAGTTCAGATCAGCCCTCTGTGGGCCCTGGGAAGTGCCTGCCAACCTCTGCCAGTGGTGCGTGCAGTGCTCGGACAACCTCTGTCAGTGGCGTGTGCAGTGCTCGGACAACCTGTCAGTGGCATGTGCAGTGCTTGGACAACCTCTGTCAGTGGCGTGTGCAGTGCTCGGACAACCTGTCAGTGGCATGTGCAGTGCTTGGACAACCTCTGTCAGTGGCGTGTGCAGTGCTCGGACAACCTCTGTCAGTGGCGCGTGAGTGCCAGCCAGTCTCTGCCAGTGGCATGTGCAGTGCCCAGCCAACCTCTGCCAGTGGCATCACTGGGATTGGACTGGATCCAGTGCCCAGTGGAATTCCCCCACTGGCCCCGCTTCCACTGTGGGGACCCAGAGAACAGACCAGCCGCCTCCTACCTGGCAGCCCTCCAGGTCACCGTGGCCACACACCTTCCTCCTCCCACACTGAGGGTCCTTGTGCATTTATCTTCCACGTGAGCCACGGCTCCGTTCCCAGGACACCTGGCCTCCCTCCCCCTGCAGCCCCCGTACAGTGGATGGAACCAGAGGGAGAGAGAGAAGCGGATTGTCCAGCCCAGAGCCCGCAAACCCGGTGTCCGGGGAGACCCTGCGGCCCATGCAGACAACCTGGAATGACCGGAGGGCACGCGCCTGCCTAAGGTGGCGGCTACTCTGCGGGCCGTACAGGAAATCAAGCCCAAAGGTCCCCATCGTCTCATGTTTCAAGAAAAGCCAGAGATGGAGATTTGTGCAGGAAACCTGCATGTCTCATGTTGGCAAGCCCTGAAAGCAAAGCTAACGTCACCCCCGAGGAGGCCTGTGGGCTGGGCAGCCGGCCGGCCACCTGCGGAACCGTCTGGTCGCGTGCAACAGCTCTCAGGAAGCTGATGGAACTTTGAAGACGCCCCAGGAAAGCCAGCTACAGACAAATGTCTGCTCCCAACATTCAAAGGGCCTATGGACTCCCAGAGCCATTCCCTCATCTCTTCCAGCCTCTTGCCTCACACGAAGGTCCAACAGCAAGGTGACCGTTTCCCAATGTCACGCAGTGGCCCCTGAGCAGCAGAGCGACAAGGAGATGCAGGATGGGAACGGGGTGCTTCCCCCACCAGGAACACTGATGCCAACCAGGGCCTGTCACACTCACCAGGTGCCGGGCACCGGGTCATCTGCATTGTCCCTCTGCCACCTCTTGGCAGAGGAGGAGACTGAGGCTCACTGGACACACTCCCAGCCCCTAGGCCAGCGATGGCGAACCTTCTGAGCTCGGCGTGTCGGCATTTTGAAAAACCCTAACTTAACTCTGGTGCCGTGTCACATAGAGAAATATTTTGATCTTTGCAACCATAGTAAAACAAAGACGTATATTTTTGATATTTATTTTATATATTTAAATGCCACTTAACAAAGAAAAATCAACCAAAAAAATGAGTTCGCGTGTCACCTCTGACACGCGTGTCATAGGTTTGCCATCACTGCCCTAGGACCTGGACTGAGCAACAGAGTTAGTACTGGAAAGCGAGACAGACAGCGGGCTTGGCCCTGCACCTGCGCTTCTTGCACCTGCGCCTCCTGCACCTGCACCTCCTGCACCAGCTCCTCCTGCACCTGCGCCTCCTGCACCAGCTCCTCCTGCACCTGCGCCTCCTGCACCAGCACGCGGCACACCCACCAGCAGACCACTCACAGTGCGGATGCCCCGGGATTTAGACTGTCCCCAGACCAACTCAGTGGACCCAACTCGGAGGGTCTGAGATGTGGTTCTCAGGCGCAAGTCGGGCTTGGTAGGATTCTGCCAGATGCACATGGTCAGCGAGACAGAGACTGGGGGCCGCACTGCCCCCTGTGGAGCCAGAGGGGCTGCGCAGGCTCTGGGAGATGGCAGGAAGGGGAGCTGCTCTGGGGAGGGAGCCCCAGGACAGTGAGTCACCTCCTTCAGGGGGTCCTGACAAGCGTGTCCCTGTCATCTCTGCGTCTCGCTTCAGTGGAGACACGTGAGGGCACCTGCCAACACCGTGACTAATGGGTTACACTCGGTCACCTGGACGTGAACTCGGCCCGCGAAGGAGGCCACATGCAGAAAAGGGGCAGCAGCACATCGGGCTGGAGAAGATGGAGCGGCTGCATTGCTCAGAGGGAGAGACCCGCATGGAGACCCAAAGGGCCGGGTTCCTCTGGCAGTGCCTGCACCGCTGAAGAGGGGGATTCTCCCCTCCCCTCCCATTTTTCTGGCTCTTGCTCCACATTTCTTACGGGGAATTTGCAAGAGGCTGGACTATCTCAGCAACTTTAAAAGTAGCAACCCCGAAATAAGCCCGCGTCTGACACCGTGCGGGTCCCTGCACCCCCGCTTCCCCGGCCGCCCCACGGGAATCCACAGGTGGCTCCCTGCACACCGCGTTCCCCTGGGCCCTGGCGTTCAGGTCCAGGCAGGGCACAGCCCTCAGCTCAGGCCCCACCAGGAGCCACCTGAGCTTGGAAAGGGCTCTCCTACCCTCACGCGCCCACGGCCCTCCCCTCGTGTCCCCTGAGAGTGTGGACATGAGGCCCCCACCTCCAGCAGCCACGCAGAGAGCACCAGCCTTACCTGGCGGGGAGATGCCCGCGGGGGCTCCAGTCCAGGCGGGTCCTCTGGGAGCAGCGAGTCCCGGGAAGATGGGAAGATGGGAAGATGCCAGCCCAGGCAGCCCCTCCCGGGACCACCTGCCAGCAGCCGCACCCACCCTCCCCCCAGACCTCCTCTGTCTCTAGAGGAGACTTGTCATTAGTCCGGGGCTTTCCCAGGCCAGAGGTCCTGAGACAGAGCTCATTTTAAAACTACTAACCCAGTACAGCTAAAGGGGGAGGCTTGGGACTGAGAGAATAAACTGGACAGCGAGGGAGAAACAGGAAAATCGGGGAGGGGGACGCTGCCTCCGAGAGTGCGGCAGAGGCAGCTGCCCGGCTGCTGGTCCCCCCAGGGGCAGAGTGGCCAGAGCGGTGGGATCCCCAGCCTGGAGCTGAGGAGGGTGGAGCCAGGCGGTGGGCGGGGCCAGGAGGAGGGGGGCCGTGGGGAGAGGCGGTGGATTCCCCGGGAGAGCCAGGCCCTCTGGGCTGAAGAGGCAGGAAGAGCAGGCAGGGGAGGTCCCCAGAAGAAGGGGGGGCAGGGACAGCGAAGGGTTCCAGGCAGCAAAGAGGCCTCCCCTGGAAGCCCCGGACACAGACTGACAGCTCTGCGCAATTATAGACTTCCCGGGATATTTTGGTCCCCTTGACAGCCCCGTCAGAAATAGCCCCATACCAGGCAGCAACTGCAGCCGTCTCAAAGCCTAGAGGGGCCGGGCCGGGCGAGGGGGGCAGCGTCCCCTCCTGTCCAGCACCTGCCCTCTGCAGGTGGCCGGGCTGACTGGCTCTCCCTGCCCCCGGGGGAGGGGAGGCGGGGATGGAATACCTTATCTTCAGCTGGACGCTGGGAAGCTCAGAGAGAGCCTTTGTCACCTGCCCGGGGCCACAGCAGAGCAGGATGGGGCCGGGCAGGGGGTTGTGCTGGTGGTGGAACAGCAGGTGCAAAGGCCCCGCAGTGGAGGCCAGCATGGCACAGTGGAGGGACAGCCGCCGAGAGGTCCCCAGACAACTTCTTCCCTCGGTGACCCTGAGATCTGATGTGGAGGTCTGGCTCCGAGGACAGTCCCCTGCACCCCGGGAAGCCGCTCTGGAACCCCGTGTGAGGCTCCCTGTCCCCCAGCTCTGCCGACTGCAGGGGAATGCTGGGTGCCCGGGCAGAGGGCGCCTCCCTGCAGCCCCTCGTCACCTAGTGCCCCAGGCCTCAGGCAAGGCTGGGCGGTGTGTGCTCAGCACTGCCTCCCACCCCTCCCGGCTCGTCCTGCGCGCAGGCCCTGCTCTGCCCCGAAGCCGAGGAGCACGAGACCCTGCTGTGTTCTCTCTGCCACGAGCCAAGAGCAGCGCTTCTGCAAAGATGATCCGGAAGCTTCTGGCTGCACCTTCCCCTCCAGGCTGGTCTCCGCCAGGATGACATTGTGTTCAATGCTCTGAGATGGATTAAACAAATAGAAAACATGCACATATGTCATCACCAGAAATACTACACGCTGCACCTTCGCCAGAGGGAGAAATGCCCCCACATGACTCAGCTTCTTCCCATTCCTGTCACTCACCCATCACAGATCATCAATACACGGACAACTCACCCATCACGGGTCATCAATACACGGACAACTCACCCATCACGGGTCATCAATACACGGACAACTCACCCATCACGGGTCATCAATACACGCACAACTCACCCATCACGGGTCATCAATACACGGACAGCTCACCCATCACAGATCATCGATACACGGACAACTCGAAGGCAGCTGCCAGGCCGTCTGAGCCTCGTGTGGGAGCGGAGTCTGTCTTCTCCATCACGGTCGCCTGCTGGGGTTTCAGAAGCTGAGACCAGGGCTGGCGGGACCGCAGCGTCCTGGAGGCCCAGGGGAAAGTCTGCAGAGCTCATTGGGATGAGGGATGAATGACCTCATTCATTCTTGCGGTTGAGGCCCTGAGACTCCTGTTTTCTCGCTACCTGTTAGCATCAGAGGGGGCTCCCGGCTTCCAACCGCCTCTCCATCAGCGCCCCACCCCCCGCCCGCCCCCGGGCCGGCTGCAGGCGCCTCGCTCTGTCTCATTCTGCCTCGTTCTGCCTCCTCTGGCCGCCAGCTGAACAGGCTGATTTCTTGGGCTTGTGTGGTTGGTTAGAGTGGACTCACCAGGTACCCTCCCTCCATCGAAGTCACTGGGCCCTGGAGCACAGTCACTCCAGCTAAATCCTCCCACTCTTTCACAGCCTAATCCTGGGAGCAGGACGGGACCATTTCCTGAGGGTTATCATTCTGACCTACCACACCCTTTTTTCAAAATTCTGCACTTATTGAAATTGCTAATTTTTTTTTAAAAAAGCGTGTTTGTTTCCTGCCTTCCTATTTGCCTTTGAGCTCTGTGAGGGCAGTAAATACCGTCTTCTGTTCACTGGGCATCCCCCAGGACGGCGAGTCCCTGGGCGCATGGGACTGCCCCGCCCGCGGATCTTCCCTGTCAGCAGCTCAGTCACACACTCCCGTGTTCCACGCCAGGAGAGTGAGCCTCAGAGGCTAACCCGCTCTGTGTCCGAGGGAGTCAAAGGCCGCGCCATCCCCCCGACTTTGAAATCAATGAAATGGGGTGCAGCGATCGAAGACAGCCAGAGCTCTCCGGACAGCCCTGCCTCCGAGGAGTGGCATGCTCCGTCCCCGCTTTTCTAAATGACATGCCTGCGTGTATTACAGGGACGACATCCTCCCCTCGGCTCGGCAGGCGTCCACCGCCGGCCCTCGGCCTCCACCATCAATTATGCAGCCTGACTGCCCTGCCCACACGCCATCTTTTTTTCCTGGACTCGCCCCGACCTCGGGCTCCCTGGGCGGGGACAGGGCTGCAGGGCCCATCAGAGGCAAGCATCATCCTGCAGACACAGGGCAGAGGCTGAGGCGTCCCTTCGAGGCCCTGTTCAGCCACTTCCTTGGCTGCCTAACCTTGGACCACACGCCCATGGTCCTCCCTGGCCCTACGTCCTGACCCCGGAACACGGCTCAAGGATGTAGTTCAAGGATAACTGCAATGTCGGTTCCTAAAGTAAATGACGTCCCTTTCGTGAAACTAGCCACAAGCGCCGGCACCCAGTAGGTGCTCAGGAAAGCTAGCCGTGGCCCCTGCGCGAGAAGAGTGGCCTGCACACGGGGTGCGTGAGCACAGAGAATAGAGGGACCCCGTGCTGACATGACGCGAGCAGGGAGGACTCGGGGGGTGAGGGGTGCTGGGGAGCGTGTGCGTGAGGAACGGGCCTGCCCCGGGACGGCTGACTTCCTCTGTTGCTGCTCACTCGTTTGTGCACAATGTGAGTTTCACTGTCGTCTTTTGCTTTACTTCCGGCCACTTAAGACACTGCTTTTCTTTCACTTTGCTTTTCCCTGAGCCCATATTTTACACGGTCACGTTTTTGGAGCCCCTACTTATCTCATTATGGTAGAGTTTCCGTTGTATTTTATTTCTGTGGGTTTGTGTGTGTGTGTGATTTTTTTAAGATGTCATGTTTTTCTTTAGAGCAGTTTTAGGTTCACGGGGAAATTGAGAGGATGTGCAGAGATGGCCCGCTCGCCCCCGCTCCTCACACACATGGCACCTCGCTGTGAACGTCCCCGCAGAGGGGTGCCTCGGTGGCAACTAATGGACCTACGTCAGTGGTTCTCAACCTTCCTAATGCCGCGACCCTTTAATACAGTTCCTCATGTTGTGGTGACCCCCAACCATAAAATTATTATCGTTGCTACTTCATAACTGTAATGTTGCTACTGTTATGAATCATAATGTAAATATCTGATATGCAGGATGTATTTTCATTGTTGCAAATTGAACATAATTAAAGCATAGTGATTAATCACAAAAACAATATGTAATTATATATGTGTTTTCCGATGGTCTTAGGCGACCCCTGTGAAAGGGTCGTTTGACCCCCAAAGGGGTCGCAACCCACAGGTTGAGAGCCGCTGACCTACGTGGACACAGCATAATCACCCTTCGGTTTATGCTTCTTATACATTCTATGGGTTTGAGTAAACGTATAATGACATGTGTCCATCATTACAGCATTTTCACGGCCCTCAAACTCCTCTGTGCTCCGCCCAGTCATCCCCCCACACCCAGCTCTGACGACCGCGGGTCCTTCTACTGTGTCCAGAGCGTGGCCTTTTCCAGAACGTCACAGGCTCGCGATCACACAGCGTGTAGCCTTGTGAGACGGGCTTCGTTCATGCAGTTAAGGTTCCGCCATGTCCTTCAGCAGCTCGTTGCTTTTGGCGCTGAATCACACTCCATTGTCTGGATGGGCCCCGTTTATCTATGTCGCCGCTGAAGGGCAGGCTGGCAGCCTCAAGCTTTGGCAGTTGTGAGCAAAGCTTCATGAAACATCCGTGGGCAGGTTTCTGTGCGCACAGTTCCAGCCCCTTTGGTGAAGGAGCACAGTAGCTGGATGGCGTGGGAGGAGTACCTGTGGTTTTGTAAGCAGCCGCCAAACTGTCTTCCAAAGTGGCTGCGCCACCTGCACCCTCCCCAGCACCCTCGCCAGCGGGGAGTGAGGCCCTGTGGCTCCGAGTCCTCCCAGCATTTGGTGCCCCCGGTGTTTGGGTTGGGGCCGTTCTAATGGGTGTGCAGTGGTCCCTCGTCGTTGTTTCAATTTGCGTTTCCCTGACGACATGGGATGTGGAGCATCTTTTCATGCGCTCACCTGCCACCTGTTCCTCTCCTTGGGCGAGGCGTCTGTTAAGATCTTTGGCCCTTTTCCATCGGATTGTTTGCTCTCTCGTGGGGTAGTCGTATTTCATTGTTGAGTCTTAAAGGTCCTTTGTACATCTCAGATAACAGGTGTTTTGTAAATCAGTCGTGTCTTTTGTAAATGTTCTCTCCCCGTCTGTGGCTGGTCTTCTCGCTCTCTCCACCTTGTTTTGAGCAGGGTAGAAGTTTTTATTTTATTTTAATGGAGTCCAGCTTATCAGCGATTTCTTTCACGGATCTCGTCTCTGGTTCCGTATCTAAAATGTCTTTGCCAACCCCAAGGTCATGTAGATTCTCTCCTATGTTACCTTCCAGGAGTTTTAGAGTTTTTGCATTACACTTAGGTCCGGGATCCATTTTGAGTTCATTTTGGCAAAGGGTGTAAGGTCTGTGTCTAGATCGCTTCTATTTTTTGCATGTGGCTGTCCAGTTGTTCCAGCGCCATTTGTTGAAAAGTCTATCTTTGCTCGAATGTGCTGCTTTGTTCCTTTGTCAGATCAGCGGAGAATATTTATGTGGATCTATTTCCAGGTCCTCCGCGCTCTCCCAGGGACCCGCGGCCTGCCCTGTGCCAGCACCATGCCGTCTGACCACTGTGACCGCAGCAAGTCTTGCGACTCGGTTCTCTTCCTTCGAT